TTTTTTTTGGAGAGATTTTCACTGTAGGGCGCGTGCGCTCGCCAGACAGACAGAGAGAGACATAGAGACAGAAAGCGAGAAATCACCCCCCAGGGGGGATGGTCACGCCGCAATCCCTTCTCCTCCATTCTCCTCTCGGGATCTTGGGCACGCACGCACACGCGCCCGGCGTGAGTTTTAAGCCACCGGGTCCGGGACGCGAACCGCGGTCGACTACGTGGGAATCCAGCGACATAGCCATTACGCTAACTGCTGGTTCCCAAAAAATCTGAATTTTTTTTAACCAGAAAATCTTGCTTTCTGTCCTCTCTCAGGAAATCGAAATCTTTAGGCATACCTGTGGCTATAGTTACATAGAAATGATTGGCTGCTACTTTAGTAATACCAGGTCTTTGATTTGCTACAGTACTCACCCTTTCTTTTTCTTATCCCATTGCCAACTCACTCTCCTCACTTATAGACCTGCCTGGCTGTTAAAAGTACTTGAGTTCATTATTTCCATTATAATAAAAATATAAGATATGCTATTCAGAAAAGTAATTCTTCTCATTTAATGATTTACTGTAGTGCCATGTGCCTCAAACTATCTTTGGTGTAGGGTCAGTAATTTCTGTTTTTTGTTGTTCCATTTCATTGTGAACTGTTGTGTTGTCTAATTATGTGTTACTAGTATACTGCGCCCCTTTGACTCATCACTAGCGTTCAACGACATCTGGACTGGTTTACACACTGTCCAGAGGACTCCACTGACTTAAATGTTATAGCAAAGCTAGATTTCTCCAAAGTTTCCCTAAATACTGATGCTCAATTCTAGTCAGTTTGTGGCCATGACAGTTTGTGGTTGTGTACCAGCCGTGAATCAGTTCGTGTAACACTGGAATAGTGAGTTTACTTTCTTCTCCAATTTTAGGAGTATGATTTAAAACCCAACAAAAGACAGTGAATAGGATCTTTATTTGGTATTGCTTCAGTGTTTGACCTATAAAGTCCTCCATGAAAGTAAAAGATTGCTTTCTCTTAATATCCTAGAATAACTGGGTGGGGGTGAGTAGCCAGTGGTGTGGTAGTTAAGGCACCTGGATACCACATGGCTGACTATATAAGTTTGAGTCCTGGACCCAGCAGCTTGAAAAACACACTGGGCATACATGTGTGTGTGTGG